ATGGGAACTCTGTCTTTTATTTAAAAAAATTTCCAAATCAATTGCCTTCAAATTTATAAAGTTACATGCATTTTCTCGAAACTTTTTGTACAACTCGCGTATATTATTTATTTTTATTTTTATTAATAGTCAAAATGATAGTTGATTTTTAAATTATAATATAGCATAGATTGAGTGGAAAATTTTTTTTTTAAATTTTAGAATAAATAAAATTAATAACAACAAATTATCAAGTATTTATTTTGATTGATTTGCAATTAAAAAAATCTAATTGATGGCTAGCTAGTCAATCAACAATAATATTATTAATTATACTACCATTAATTAATATATTATTATAATTATAATTATATCTTTACTTTTTTTGCTATTCTATCACTATTAAAATCATCATCATTAATTGGAGATTTATTTGCTGATCTCTTTTCTGCTAATCCTTGTTTCTTAAAATATTCTCTCCTTTCTTGTTTGTTTTTCTCCTTTAATTTATCATCTAGCTTATTGATTTTCTTTATATGTTCTATACGTTGTTTAGTACGTTTTTCCTTTCGTTTCTTGTCCTTTTCGTTCTTGAGGGTTTTAATTTGTTGCATAAGTGTGTAAACATTCTTTTCTTTAGGTTCCATAACTACTACTCGTTTCTGCATATAGGATTGTTTAGATTGTTTCTTCAAAAGTTTTGGTTTTGATTCAAATGGTAATTCAGCCTGAAGAGATTTTGGAATGTGCAAGGGATTAAATCGCCTTGTTTTTCTTTCAATGCTCTATAAAAAGATTATTTATATTTGTTATTTGGTGTATGATAGATAAATAAATTTTTAACCCAATGAATTTGATAATAAATTACTCTATAATCAGAATCGGATTTATGTGGTGTTGGCATGTTCAATTCATGTCTAACTACACCACTTAATCGCATTCCTTGCCAATCTTTCTTTGAAGATAACAATAATGATGTGACTGGATTATAAAATTTCTTTGGTTTTATAGGATACCAGGCTCGAAGAAATATAATATCTAATTATAAAAAAAAACAACAACATGAATATTTAATGAATGTTCATAAATATATAAAATATAGTACATATATACCACTCATTAATATTTTATCTTCAAATGTAGCACGAAAATGTCCATCGCTTTTCTATATTTCAATAAAAAATTACATTAATATATAATATAAAATTTTAAAAAACAATAACAATTTTCATTTATTTATATACCAAAACAGCCTTTTTAACTTGTCCTCTAATACCAGAAACAGTTCTAATAGCTGCACCTTCAAATTTTGCAACTGAATATTTAATGAATGTTCATAAATATATAAAATATAGTACATATATACCACTCATTAATATTTTATCTTCAAATGTAGCACGAAAATGTCCATCGCTTTTCTATATTTCAATAAAAAATTACATTAATATATAATATAAAATTTTAAAAAACAATAACAATTTTCATTTATTTATATACCAAAACAGCCTTTTTAACTTGTCCTCTAATACCAGAAACAGTTCTAATAGCTGCACCTTCAAATTTTGCAACCTCTAATGCAGATGAAAACATGTCTTTGATGAAAGCAGTATTCTTGAAAATCTTGTAAGGTAAACCTGTTAATTTTAATTTTTTAACAATTTCAACTGAATGATTGATATCAAGAACAACACCTGTTGCACTAATACGAAATGAAGCCTATTTTTAAAAAAAAAAATTTTTAAATTAAACATTTAAGAAATTTTATAAAATCGAAATAGATGAAAATTCTATTTATTTTAATTTTTACGTACTGTGTTGCTTGCTGAAACAGATTGAACCGCACAGAAACTTGTGCTTGGGGGATGGATTGGCCCTAATGAAATGAAATATTAATAAAAGTAACTTTGCAATTTAAAATAAACATAAATAAATATGTATTTACCGTAAATAGTTGCTAAACAATGCATATGCTCAGGTGTGTATTTAAGCATCCTGTTTCTTGTACCATCATTTAATGAATAAATAGGCATTGATTGAAATCTCCTCCAACCAATTGAAAAGATGAGAGGATCATTAGTCTTTAATATTTTCTTGTGCCAACGATGACGTTTAATTCGAAGCTATAAATGAAAATTAATATGCTATTACAAAAACCTTCAAAACTTGTATGAATAAATTTGAATAGTATATTAATGATACCTGAATGAATCCTAAATTTTCTTCAGTGGTTAATAACCCGCCTACTATTATAGGATATATTGGATCAAAATGTTTAACAAACTCGCAAGGTATTTCGTTCAATAAGATACGAACATAAGTTCCAGGACTAAACCCTTCAATCATTGCTCTAGCCACAGGATCATCTGATTCAAATTCTTCCCGATTAATTTGTAATTGTTTAGCTATCTCCTCCTTTACTTCATCATAAAAATCTCCCTTCGGCTTATCCTTATTATCGTCATATTCAGCATCAAATTTTTTCTTTAGAAATGCCTTTTTTTTTGCTAATTCCTCTCGTTCAATCTCTTCTTTTGTATTGGTATTTTCAGATGCTTTCACGGCTTCTCCTATTTCAAGATCTTCAAAATCACCCTGTACCTCATCTAAATCATCGTCATTGTCATCAAAGTTTATTTGGGCATCATCATCATCATCTAAGCTACCGGTAATAAATTTATTCCTTAATGATTCTAGTATCTATAAATAAATCTATATTAATTAAAAATAAAGAAGATGATAATGATAATGATAATAATGATAAAATCAACACTTGTTCACCTCCTCGTTATCCCATCGATTTAAATCATCCATCTTTATGCTTAGTTTTATTGAATCAATTTCGTTCATAGAATTGTTTGATTTTTCTTCACTTTCTACAAACTTAAACAACTCTTCATCCTCTTCATCCTCAGTCAAATTAGTTTTCTGCCTAAGAGATCCATCGACATCTTCTGAATTTCCTTCTTCTTCATCCAAAATTGTATCACCCAAGTCACTATCACTTTCAGCATAAGCAACTTCTTTATTTTTATTATTATTATCCTCGGAATTTTTAATATTATAATTTTTTAAGGCTGCTCTTCTTACAAGATGTCGAGTTTTTTTCTTATCATTATAATTACTAATTTTATCATCATCACCATCATCACCATCATCGCCATCATTGCCATCACCATTCTCCTCACCATCATCCTCACCATCACTCTCATCATCATCACCATCACTCTCATCATCATCATTTTCTCCTTCACTGTCATCATCGTCATCATCATCTGATTCAATTACTTCACCTTCAGTGTCATATTCGCTACCTATATTTATTATAGTTTCATCATCATCATCATCATCATCATCATCATCATCATCATCATCATTGTCATCATCATCGTCATCGTCATCGTCATTATCATCGTCATCATCATCGCCGTATTCTTTTTTATAATTTATTTAATGACAATAATTTACTGTCAATTAATACATATGTATAATGAATTTGATATTAATATTTTTTTATTAATATAGTTACCATCTAATAGAGTCAAATTCGATGCTTTCAAATGATTAGAATTAGTGAATAAAGTTAATTCACTTTCTTGCAATTGACTACCAAGTGTATCAGGAGCATCTTGTAAACTCATGACCATTCTTTCACCAAATCCTTGTTCATATTCAACTTTTTTTAATAGTATATTTAGTATTGATTAAAAATATTGACAATAAAAATTTTAAATATCGAAAAAAAATTCTTTTATTACGATTTTTATCATCATCGTCATCATCGTCGTCATCATCATTAATTATTTGATCACTTTTTTTTGTAAAACTTCCAGGAACATTAATATATACAGCATCCTTGTCATACATAATACCTCCTACATCAGACATTGGAGCATAAATAAGTTTTTGTTTTTCACTGAGACTCCTCCTTACTTTTTCAGGAAGAGGACAGGGATCTGATAAAATAGAAATGTCTGAAATGCATTGATCTCCAGCACCAGGTATATGAACCTTTTTTTGAATAATAAATAAACAAGTTCACACAAATCTTTTTTTAAATTCAATTTCAACTAAACAAGTTAAAAGAAAAATTTAAAACAACAAACCTTCATATTACTTTTCATATTTGTTCCTCGTAGATAACCATATAAAGTTATAGTACGATCACACAATGGATTTAATCTAACTTCTTCGGGATCAGTTAAATCTTCAACACGATCAGCCACCAAATATGGACGAGTATTCCTCCAAATCAGCGGACGAAACCTCATAATAGAAATGAATCTTGAAAGATTTTGTATCTCGTTATTAGAATATCGGCCATTTATTATACCAGTCAGATAAAAAAGCTTTGCTCCTTGATAAATTTCTGTCCAGAAACGATGTTTTAATCTTTTTTTGGTATTTTTTAAAACTTTGTTATTTTTAAATTTGTCCAAATGTGTCAGAACACCTATTATTTTAGGAAATCCATGAGCTTGTAAAATATTAAGAAATTCAAATGTTTCCTAAATTGAGGATCCAAAAAAAGGTTTGTTTTTAAGACTATCTGAGAAACCATTTATTATTTAAACAACTTTTTGATTTTTGGAATTTACCATTTCAAAACCAAAACTTGCATCAATTAAAAGTAGCACTAAATCAGCTATTTTAGCTATATCAATCATTGAATTCAAATCATTTGCACATTCAATAAAAGTCAATCTTCTTTTTTTCCCTATATGCATGCATGCACACATATAAAATATCAATAATTAATTTCTTTTGAAATAAAAATGCATTTTTTAAAAGTATATTGAAGGCATACCACTAACAACTGTAATTGGTCCTTTAACTTCTGTAAGATTATGTTTAGTGTATCTTTTTACCAGTGATTTTATCAAAGTAGTTTTACCAGTCTATTATTAATAAATAAAAAATATTTTAATTTTAATTTGAAAACTTTTAATCACGCAAGGTTTGATTTTTCGATTTAAAAAGAAACCTGTGGTGGGCCAACAATAGCAACCACAATAGGTGGTGGTTCTATAGGTGTTCTATCTACGAGTGGAACATGAAGTTTCTTTTGGAGAAGCTCTTGTTTACGACGAGCAAGTTTGTCAGCTTTTTTCCCAGAGAAAGGAGCAAACGCCTGTTATATTAAGATTTTAAGAAAATGGTTTTTGATAAATAAAAATTTAAAAATGTTACTATGAATGATATATAATTCATATATATATATATATATAATAATAACCTTTGGATTGTTTTTTTCTTGGGGTTTCTTTTTTTTATCCTTTTTATCTTTCTTATCTTTTTTGGAACCAGCTTGACGTGGACGATGAGCTTTCTTCTCTTTGTCTTCCATTAATAATTATTAATAAAAATTTTTTGATTCGAAAAGTTTTTTTTTATATTAATATGATCAACAATCACGTAGCGATTCTTGTGTAACAAAATTTTGAACACAACACTAGGTAGGTTGCCTGCAGCACATTGTTGGTAAATGCGCGAATCTTCAGTACATATAATCGAATTTTTGAATTTCAATGGTGTGTGGTATTAGTATTTCGTTGCCTGGTCGGGACATTCATTATCTACCTTAACTAATGTCAATTTCTTTGGTCCCAGTTTATAATTCATAATCGTAATTTTGTATCACATTTCAATGCTAATCTTTTTGGCTGTCTTTTTATTACCACATAAAGCTTATAACTCCCACAGATTAAAAAATCACTCATACCGTGATCCCTGTGAAAGTTCATTTTTTGATGAAACATTGACACAAATCTTCAGAAAACAATCCCATCCATACTGGTTCATTAAGTAATTAATATTTATTAACATTGGTTGGATTATTAATTCTTCTATGTTAGTATAAAGAACAAATTGTTCTTGACACCTATTTGTTTGATTGGTGCTAATATCAGTACTATTTTTTATTTGGCAAATAAATTATGCTTAATATGGATGTAATAGTAAAAAAAAAACCCAGAAAATATTAACATAAAAAAGTAAAAATGTCATCATCTAGTTCCAACATCAAAGTATTTGATGATAGCAAAATTTTACCATTATTTATGAAGTAAATTTTATTATTGATTTAGGTAATTATTTATCAACATCAATATCGATATTGGTATCATAATAGCATTATCATAATCATCAATTGATATATAACATTTATCGGGAAAAAACAAACAAAAGAAATTGTTGAGGATTTGGAAAAATGGTTACAAGATTATCTCAATGAAACAATAAAAAAAAAAGGATTCCGTGTTTCACGATTTCCAAAAGATGATGAAGAAAGCGATACTGAGATAAAAGACCCTGACCGAATACATAAATGTATCACTGTAGTTTTTGAGGTTGACAATAAAGAAAATTTGGACCTTTATTTGAATGAAGAGGTTAGAGTAAAAAAAGTTTGGGGTAATTTTTTTATTTATAATTTTTAACAAATATAAAATATTAATTAATTTAGACACCAAAGATTCAAAAAGCTTTACAAGATAAATTCAATTCCAAAAATGCCTCAGTGGTTTCTTCATGTCGTGTTTTATATCTGCTTTGCACTTTGGACGAAACGAATCAGTTAAAATGCAAAAATATAAATTAGTTTCTTGTACAATCTTATTATGTATTATTATCATGTTAGTATAAAAAACAAATGATAAATGATTTCTAAAATTTCCAATTTAATTTTAATTCACTATATTTTATACGCAATTCAGCTATATAAAAATAGAATACAATTATTAATTTTTTTACATAAAAACATATGGCTTAAACATATTATAAATTTTTTTTTTTAAACCTACATGTTTTTAATTTATTTCTAGCTTCCAAAATCTTTCTAAGCTGTTCAGTTTTTCTTTGCTTCTCTTCTTCAGCAATATTTGGATCATTAGATTGTTGCAGAATTTCTGCATATGTTTTTTTGAAGTTTAATTCAATCACTAGATCTTCAGGAATAGTTCTATATAATGATAAATCTATTTTAAGTATTTTATAATATCCTTTAGGATCAGATATTATTGGGCCTGATTTTTGTGTTTTGGATGAGAAGGGTGACGATGATGATGAGGATGAAGGAGTAATATTTTTTAAAAAAATTATTAATATATATAGTTGATAGCTTATTGATATTATTATTACATTAAAAAAAATTATATCTAAAGGTCATGAATTCTTTTTAGATTAGGACACACAATACGAATATATCAGAAATTAATTGAAAAAGTTACTCTAGGAAGGTTGATTTCAACAGTTTTCCCAAAAATAAAAAGCTTGAAACCAAAATATAACTTCGATTGGATAAAAGATTTACAACCAATCAACCCACAAATTTTTGCTGAAATTGATGTTGTGGACTTCACCTATAATCTCCCATATTTTACTCGATTGTTATTTGATCATTCAAAAGATAAATTCAAAAAAATCAAATCAATGACTATTGATGATTTTGTCATGGATGTGGAAAATATTGATGTGGAATTTCAACAATTTTTTCCTGTCTATCATCCTGTCTACGTATTTACAGAGGCATCTTCTACAGATAAAAGCTATCAAGTTGTTGATGCTTACAATTGTCAATTAATTGATCCATCAGTAAGCAATTTTGACTCTATAAAGTACTCTCTTGGTTTTGGCCTTCCTGATAGATTTTTATTTGGTGCATATTTCTTAAATATGCTTGATAAGATTGATGATAATTTTAATGACATTGTAACAAATGCAGAGAATCATTATATGTTGCCAATCAATTGGGATTTGGGTATCATTCAACCTTTCAGAGAAAGGTTTGAAGCAAATCAGCAATTTTTGGAAATTGTTGAAAAATATTATGGATTATTATCAGAATTGAAAGCTCTATATTATAATAATGGTTCATACAAACCAAGTTATTGTAGGAATTTTGATGATTGGATCAGTTATATTAATATGACTAATGGATGGAAAGAAATTTATAAAAAATTAAAGATTCCTTCAGATCTGCCTAGTTTGTCTGTTTTCTCGCAATACTTTTATACTGTAAAATCTGGATTTTTCCAATCAGTAAATGCAAGTGGTATAAAAGAAAAATTACATAAATTTGATCATAAATTTTCATTAAAAAATAAATTCCCTGGATCAACTTCTACTCCATATCTTGGAGTGAATCTTGGTAGAGTGAATCTTGATGGAGTGAATCCTGGTAGAGTGAATCTCGATGGGGTGAATCCTGGTAGAGTGAATCCTTTTGGAATGACAAATGCTGATATAATAAGAAATCATATATTAAAATCTAATGTCTCTTCTTCAAAATCACAATCATCACCAAAATCAAAACCTACTTCGCAATCATCACAATCACCTCCCTCTTCACGACCACCTTCTTCATCATCACGACCACCTTCTTCATCATCACCATCATCACCATCACCACCATCACCACCACCATCACCTACTTCTTCAACACCACCATCACACCATAGATTAAAGAGAACAAAATATTTATTGGATATTTTAGAACAGAGTATTTAGAAGGGGAAAAAATTATTTTGCTCCCCCACCCTCCATATAGCCCAGATTTAGCTCTTCATGACT